AATCCAGTTATCTTTTTTCCTTATCATCCTTATTGAATTTCCCTCAGAGATCAACAAAGTTCTTCTTATCCCCCTGTTGTTCCTGGTCCTACACACCAAACCAGCACCTTCATGGCCGGTCAGTCGGCTCCTTGGCGACACAAGGTGACGTGTGACTGTTTGCAGAGTGTAAAGATAATCATTGGGCAATTAATGAGCACCAAAAGGGAACCATTAGTGAAGTGTAAACTTGTGATACCTGTTTGGTGTGTGATGAGAGCTTTGGAGGCGGAGGACTGCAAAGAAAAACAAACTTGGAATTTAAATTGCACTATGCAAATGTAATGAATTGGGACGTAAAATTCATTGGTCACTAAGGCATGGTTGAGTCACTGGTGTGTGTATTTATCTGCTGGATGACTGCAGCTGCAAGGTTTTTTGTTAAAACTGGAGTGCCATTTGTTGCACCTTTTTAAATTTATCTCATTCAAATTAGCAGAAGCTGTGATTTTACTGAGATATAATGTGGATTCCTTACAATGAGAAACTTGAAAAATATCTTAATTTTCTCTTCCTACATTGTTTTTTTGTGGAAACCTCCACTGTGATGCAGCTGATTGCTGTCATTTTTAGTCCTCGTCATGTTTTTAGCCTTATGGTAAACCTTGACAGCAAAAAGACTTGATTTTTTCTCTTAAGTGTGACTTTTATTAGTCTTTTAGGGTGAACATCAATCTGACCCCAGTTTAAAACTTTGGCCATGTTAATGTGTTAGTCAGGCACCGGCCTGCTTTTTCTGCAATAAAACATTTGCATGGTCATTTTCTTTTGCTATACTCTCATTTCTATGAATTATATTTGCCTTTTCATTTATCCCACATTTTATTAGGTATTATACAACATTGTCCACCCTGTATATCTTTTATAATTTTGATTGTTTTATGGATTTTTAGTAAAGTTATCAACCTCAACTTAGATATCCCAGGAGCAATCATGTATATCTCACTCTCTCTGAGCAGTCAGGAATTCATACAATTGTTAGACCAAAATATGTAATATTTTAGCCAAAAAAGTCGTAAAAATCTGCTGTGATGGAGATTAAAACATGTCCCATGGACAGCATCATGGTCTGCATACAGCTTTGGCCTGTTACTGCATCACACATCATCCCCACTTCCTTCTACCCAAACCCATTAGATGCCCTATCAAATAAAGACAACATGTCCTAAAAATACCTTTAAACAAAGAAGCGTTTCAAATAACATGGAAGGAGAATTCTCGGCTCTGACACATACACAGTGATGTGCACAGGAGTGGCAGCCATTGCTCAGCACATAAGTGTGGTTTTCTATATTCTGACTTTAAATCTATTTTTGGATGCAATCTTTTTACTGCACATAAACTCAAAACTGAAACCGCTGTCAAGTTTATATCTATTCAACATATAATAATGTGCTTAAATAGATGCATGTCAGTCATGGACTATGACCATTTAACACCAAAATCCAACTTCACAAAATTATGCAACAGCTACACAAGCAGTTTAGGCTCTGAGAGTTCAATCAAAATAAAGAACTATAGGTTTGCAGTGTGAAGGCAGCTGGTATGTTCTTACTTCTACGTCTCTTAGAAAAGGAGAAAAACAGTGAAGTCGATATGACGGACCTCTGTTTTCCCTTTGCAGCAAGCAGCTGCCACTCTGTAATCTTTGCCCTCCTTTGAGACATCATAGTTCTCGTCACCGTTGTTTGTGTTTTGAATGTTCTTGGAAAAAAAATGTGATTTTTGCCTTAATGGTTGGAAGTGAGTGACAGTGGGATTCAGTTATCGCTGAGGGAAAGTGCTCGATACAAGCACTTCAAGGATGCTGGAAGCTTAAAGAGTCTTATCATCCTCCCAAAACCCCTCCATGGATTCAGGACTTGCTTAGAACCATACACACTCTCACTCACACACACACACACACTCACACACACATACACACACTGGTCACGTGATTTCACAAACCTCCTCACACTCTTGCATACACACAGCTTCTCACAGACAAAGCCTTTGAGAGACTCAAGAGAGATGTTTTCTTTTTTAAGTCTCTAAATCTTTTTATTTCCATCGCTGTTTCAGTATAGTACTCTTGTACAACACTTGTGAGTAGTGTATGTGTGCATGTGTGTGTGTCTGTGTGTGTTTGTATTTTCATAATCAAAGGCATCTATCTTATGTTACTACTGGCCTACATATGGAAACTGAAGTGGAGACCCATCATGGGGAATGTCTTAATTAACAACACTGCCATTCTCACTGACACCTTTATCTAAAAAATATATATCTCCTTAACTTCCAGCGTCTTCAACTTTGAAAGCAGCCGCTCATCATGGGAATGCACAAATCACACACTGGGTTTTGTGTGTGTTTTCTTTGCTGCGAGGAATATCCTGAGCACTGGAGGAGACAGGAGTCCTTTTGCGGCAAATAGGACAGTGAGGGGGGAGAGAAATGCAGGCAGGCAGGTTGCCACGGAGGAGAAATACACACAGATGGCCTGACAGACTGACAGACAGAGGATGAGAAAAAAAGTAGACAAATGAAGAAAGACACAAAGACACATGCGCGCAGGATGTACTTGAATGCAGATACCTGTGAGCACATCTGTGCGGTGTGGAGAAATCTGTGCATGATTTTGAATTCAGATGTGGAAGCTCAAGGATCAGACCTGTGTGTCAAAGACTGCTGTGCAGAGACAGGATACAGCCCTCTGGGCAGCTATGATATGTCCTCATTTTCATTTTTATTTATTTATTTTTTGAATCAGTTCCTCAAGAAAATGCATTTATATATAGAAGAATACCAGAAAGACTCCTCTCCAATATCTTTAAAAGTGAGATTGCATTTATTTTAGACATGTCTTGTTATAACAATTGAGATGTACCTGCAGCTGGGCTAATGATAAAACATGGAGACTTCTTTGCAGCAAGTTACATAATAAAACTAACCTGTCAACAGATTGATAAAACTACAGTTTATAGGAAGATTTGAGATGAAAATAATTTGTAGACAAAACCAAAGTTCTTCAGCTAAGGGCTAAATCCTAAAAACATAAACGTACTCAACCAATTTAGTCGAATACATCCGTCTCCTTGGAAACATGAACAACTGAGTTACTACTTTTAAAGCATCGAAAATGTGTTGCTGAGACAGCACATAATGAATCTGAACATGAACTCTGATATGAAAATGTTATTTAAGCCCACAGAGACAGAAAAGTATGTCTGCAAGCTCGGTAACATCAACAAGAAGCTCAACGATGGCGATCATCATATCGACAATTTGGACTCCAAGTCAACTCTACCTCTATTTATGCCTAACTGTTCAAAACTTACTTCCTTATAAACATTTTTAAAACCAGCAAGTAATCAAGAAATCGAGACTGTTAGTGTTTTTGTACCCAGATGGTAATACAGTATTTCTATTTCTGCTGTGATCATGGGCATCACTCATGTTTGTCAGGGCCTCCTGGTTTTCTGCCTCTAGCGTTGAATGTAAACACAAGGAACTGCAGCGTTTACTTCATACTGGTTTCACTTGTTATCACTGGGGGGTTGTCACGTGTGTAACACTTAAACATCTCCACACTGAATGTAACCATTAATAACAACTCATAACAACTGCTTTAAGGAAGTTAACCCAGAGTTAACCCATTTTATGCTGCGTTTAGATAGATAATGAACATTTTTGAGTGTCTTAAAGCATGAGATAGCTCCTGTTTGTGTTATTGTCCCTGAAAAACAAGGCCTTAATCAGGATTTATTACTTATTTCACAGGTCAAAATGTTTTTACTAAATATAGTTACTGCCTTATTAATCGTTAAAACCCAATTTTTCGAAATACATTACCCAATAAGTATTTTTTGTTCTAAAAGAGGTCTAATGGACGTCTAAATGTAGCCTAGACGACTGGTCTAAAATCAGGCTACCACAGGTCTAAAAATGAAAGTGTTTTAGACGTCTAAATTTAAACCAAGTTTAGACCAGGCGGCTAACAGAGGTCTAACTGTATATTGCTCAATGGCTATCATAATTATTTCGGCTGAGTACTTGGAGATCAGATATACAACTCAAAGTTACTTTTTAGAGTAAATAGTAGTCGAATGATGGGTTAAAGTGCAACGTCTAAACTCCATCTAAAGATATACAGAATCTAGACGGTTGAAATTAGGTCTAAAAAAACTAGACATCTAATAGCCGTCTATTGCTCAGTGGGTTGTGATCGGTGAAGTAGAATTGACCCATTAATGACGTCATTAAACATGGCTCTATAAAATTTACTGTAATAGGATTAAAGCTCCTGTGCAGAACTTTCGGGTGATGTTGATTGGCGACTCCTGTGGGCCTTAAATGTTAGCCTAAAACCTTTGCCGACGTCTCCCTGTCAAGTCTAAGAAGAGCTTTTGAAAGAGCGTATTCGTTCAAATGTTTAACAGGCTACTCACAACAACTCTTTGGTGTGGACAGACTAAATCAACAATGAGATGTTAATAGCCTCCCCCGACACCTACTCTGTGGCAGGAGGACAGGCATGTAAACAAAACAAAAAAACAGAAATAAATAGCTCTGTAGCTCATGGTCTTGTTCGTTTTTGTAGGTCTTTTTCACAGTCATCTAAAAAGTCCTCACAAGAGCTTTAAACAGTGAGCATTTTTTGTTTAAAATGTGATTAAAGCAGTATGTGTATTGGGTAATTTTGTTTTAAAAATTACTCAAAGATAAATATTACTCCTTGTGGATGTGATAAAAATCAAAATGCTGATTGTCGAGCTGACAAGAGACACCTTTAGATTATATTAAAGCTATTAAGAAAAACAGAGAGTTCCTCATGGAAGCTAAAAGTAAATAATATAAATATCTGCATCAGACTTCCTCATTTGGGGCTTCAAATATAGAAGCAATGACATTACAGAGATACGGATATGAAAGCAAAAACTCTGACACAGGTTGTCTGAGGGCAGCCGGCTCTCCTTTTGGGGTTACTGACGTTGTTCCGGGGTTGAGAGATACTGGGTGGGTCCTGCTGCTTCCTTTGTCACCCCTGCTAATTGAGTGATCCCGTTGACCCTGCCGGTGCTGCCTGCTAACACGTCAGCAGGAGACGGTGTCGCAGCGCTCTGCTTTAAGTCATAACCACACGTCTGGCTCATGTGGGAGCACTGATGGATGAAATGATGGGGGGGATGGATGATGGGCGTAGCAAGGACGGAGAAGCTATACTGTAGTTGGGAGGCGAGGTTAAGTACGGCCCTGATGTGGTTTAGCCTCGATACTGTTAACATCCCTGCTTTGTTTCCTTGCTGGGAAGACCGAGCTGCAGTTGAGAGAAATAGCAGTAAAAGTAGCAGAGGGGTATATTCTGTGGAATAAAAACATCCAACTACATTTCTGTGCCTTTTATGATAGTGTGGGCAGATGCATAAAAGATACATAGAGAGAAATAACACTTTTATTGTTCCTGGAGGAATCCTCTGCTGCAGGTGTGCAGGCACACAGAAAAATACAAAAGGTTACCGGCACTGTTTGACCATTTCTGTATTGGTATATAAACATATGAGAACAACACTTGACAGATGCTCACATAGGGTGAAATCTTGCCCAGTCCTCTGGTTTTTCATTGCGTATGCTATAACAGCTGTACTCATACGCCTCACTCAGCAGAGACAGCCATAGCATGCCGATCAGAGGGAAAAAAATCATATTTCAATGCATGCCTTTGGGATGTCTTTCAGTGAGCATGTGACACTTTTCAGATAAGTGTTTTTGTGTTAACAAAATGGAAATCTTAATTTTGCTTAGCTAATTATAGCTTGTGGGCCGTTGCTAGGCAACCTGATGACAGGAGACAGCAGGGAGTCAAGAATCTAACCTTTGGCTGGATGGAGCCAAGAGGTGACATTTGGATTTCCTTCATATCAGCCTCTATTGATGCTCTGCGTTCTGACACTGGCTGTATTGCACTTTATAGTTCAAATGATTTAAAGTGCGCTTTAAAGTAACCGTGTTTTTTTTTCTGTATAATGAGGAAGAAAACTTGTTTAAAATCAGGCAAAGAAAAACCTGAAAGCATTCAATCAATGTCAGGCGGCTTTAATGTGGAGCATTTAGGAAAATAACAGTCTTTACATAAATGGACGTGCATGAGTCACTCTGCACTTTGGAAATGTGCATTTAAGTTATGTCATTTGAGACTTTATGATGTCTCTTACAGGGCATAAAACACTTGGTTAGTCAGAGAATGTGTACATCATAATTTTTCCCTTAATGCAAAAAAGAAGGGACTATTTGGCTCAGTTATGATGCTGAGAGTAGTTTCTTTACACCACACTTCTATTATGGGATTAAATTTTGCAGCACCCTCTTATGCAACAGTCGCCCATCCACAAGAGACTCTACTCTGACTTGGGTGCAATATTTAGCATTCATTATATTCTGAAGAGCCAGAGGAATACTGCAAAAAATGTAAATTAGGAAAACTGTTATAGCTTCATATAAGGTCAGGAATAAGTGCTGCAATTCTGGCTGCAGAAAAATTGTGTTTTCACATATAAAGCAGCACATGCATAATCTCCCCATAGAGAGCTGACAAGACAATGTCAGTATGCTCTGAAAATTTCTTTGTGGGTGTCTGATTTTTCTTCCTATCTAGGGGGGAGTATTGACGGAGTCGGGGGGTTCATGGCTCAGCGCCAAAATAGTTTTGAAGTATCTGTGAAAAGACTCCTCTTAATCCGTTTTATTTGCTCTGCTACCTCCGAACCATTTGTCCACGCAGAGCTCCCAAACCCTCCGCTCCACCCAGCCATCTCAGGGATTTAGTGTGGTAGAGCAGAGGTGCAAGCCCACAGACAGTTAAAAAAAAAAAAAAAAAAAAGCCATCTGGCCAGGGAGGGAGATGGGGGGAGGCAGTGAGGTGGGGGTGTTGGGAGGTTTGGGGCGGAGGAGTCGTGCTGGGCAATCAAAATGACGGACAGCAGTGAGAAGTGTTTTGCGGGCTCCCATGTACATGCAAAGTAGGCCGACTTGTGAGCTTTCACAGCTCCCTCTGGTCTTCAGGTAAACACTGACCAGCCAAGGTATGCGTGCTCGTTCCACACCTCAGTGTGTGTGTGTGTGTGTGTGTTTATGTATGGTAATGATGTGTTTGTTGGCTTGCTCATGGGAGGATAGAGTTGACTTTCTTGTGTTTATGTCCATGTCAGTGGCTCGTGTAGATGTGTGTTCTACAAGAAAGGCAGCCAAGTTTAGTTCTGTAGTTTTTCAGCCTTTTTTCGCCAGCGCTGGTGTTTGAGGTGTTCGACCGGAGAAGTCAGGATTAGCAGGTGAAACAAACAGCATCCATATTTCATGAACCATCAGAAAAATCCCTCTTCTTGGATTCGACACAGACTCAGTTCTAAGGACACTGTGAAATGGGTGCACAATTGTTCCTCTGCGCTCTGAGCAAATATTATAATCCTATTCTCTTATGCTTTCCATCTTGCCCTCTCTGCCTAATGTTCACCCCAAATGGCGGCCCCTTTCCCTGAGTGAAAACCCCTCTGAAATGTGTGGAGGCTTCATTTTTCACTCTCCCTTTGGGGCTCTGTTGTCAGAGAGCAGCCCTTAGGAAGTCTTTATTTCTGCCAGGCAGGGCCTCTTGCGTTCCTCCACCCTCTCCCTCCGTTCTCATGGCTGTCCCCCCCACCTGCTGGGATCCTGATCCCAGCCGGGGCAGGGCTTCAGCGGGGGACAATTACCGCTGCTCCCCAGCTTTGATCATCTGACCACATGGAAGCATAACAGCTGACCACATGTTTCAACAGACAAGAAGAAGGAGAAGCAAGAGAGAGAAAAGGGAAAGAGTAAGAATAGGGTGAGAAGAAGAAAAGAAATCCTCTTTTCATTTCAGCCCAAAGTTCCATTTCAGCGGGGACGCTTTAGCCAGAATGGTCAAATCTGTGTTTCAGACGGCCCCTTTGATGGTGATTATTTATTTGAATCAGGGCAACCATACTTATTACGGACTATGTCTGGCTCCAATAAAGTTAAGTTTCAATTTGCCTCTCTCCTCTTTTGCAAGTGCCGTAGAGAGAGAGGCAATTTGAGGCTGCCCTTGTAAAAAGTGAGTGCTAAGTCTGCTGGTATTGTCGGCCAAATTGTCACGAGGCCAACTGGGCTCTGCTGTCGTTTTCTGAGCTGTGTCTGCCTTTTCGCAACCTAGGCCGCATCTATACTGCAAATGAGTCACGATAACCAAGAGAAATAACCTCCGGAGACACTCACAGCTGTGGTAGATGAATATGTAAGAAAAGTGTGGTGTCATCTGCAAAAAGATGGATTCATAATGAGATTTATGAGCAAAATTCGGCCACAGTTTATACGCCAGAGAGAATACAACTTTATGAAAACCAAAAGAAAGCTTTGGCTCTCTTTGAATGGTATTTGTTGGATGATTTTGGTTGAAATTATCATAACTTTTCCCCTATTTCCCCCCTCATTGGTCTGCTAGAGAGATATCTAGTCCCAGGATCAGGGCCAAGAGGGTTAGATAGAAACTGACAAGTCTGAGGCAGAATGGGAGGGAGTCTGTTTTGCTCTTCTTGTCAGGGATGGCCTCTTAGAGTGTCCCAATTGTAAAGGAGATCACTTTACCACATTAAGGGCGCGTCAAAAGAACCTCTTCAGCAGCTCTTTGGCCCAGCCTGGAAGAACAGGACTTGTTTTGACTGCTCTGCCACCTTTTATTGTCAGCGCTGCGCCGACCAAACAGCTTGCTCCTGCCTCAGCTATACTGTCACCGAGGCGCTCGCACAACATATGTGCACGCACTTGAGCGCAAACACACTCGTGCACTGCGGGCAGGAACGCAAATGTGGATGCATGCACACAGACATGAGCGTGCGCATTAGTGCACGCAGACACAACAACCCTTGGGCTATCAGTAGAGATTGAATAGATTGAAACGGCTTTGATGATAGCACTGGTCAAATAAAGCAGGCGTTAGAAATCTACCAGAGAGGCTGTGAGAGGGAGACCCACTTGTTAACATACATATGCAACGTACAAGCGATTCTCTAGTCCATTAATCATTAAAAATGTTGTTCAGATTTTTAATACCCTTAAAATTTCTTTGTGATGTGTCTAATAAAAGCCCAGCCTCAGAGCAATTCTTGAAATAATCACAGATATATAATAAATGGGCTGTGTACATGGAGGCAAATTCCTCTTTATTATTTTTTTGTCAGCTTGAATTGCAAAATCATGTATTTAAATTGGAGGCTTAATTTATGCATCAGACAGAAAACTCTTTATAAAGTCATGTAGGGGGTAGACAGTGTGGCAAAAATAGATCTCAATTTTGTTTTTTATTGGCGGAATCACTGCATAGTTTTTTATTTTTTAGCCTTCTTTGCTACTTTATTTTAATGACCAGTGCAACCAAAGTTGTTTCTTATCCTGGCTTCCCATTCTATCAAGCTTTTTTTTCTATTTAATCTTACCTTACAGGATGTATATTCACCACCGCACTCAACAATTCTGTCATAATGCAACAAATGTAAATTACTTCTGCCCATAAACACACAAATGGATAAGGCACCCTGACTATTCTTTCACTTTCTTTGTTTTGTTAATGGTTTTTAGTCTTTGTCATTGTTACTGTCATAGTTGCTGCTGTTGTAACCTCAGTACTGTCCCTCTTTTCCTATCGAGTAGCCATCATAGCAGCATAAAAAATAAAAGATTCCCAAGTTCATAAATTATTTTTAAAAAAAGTGGTCCAGATTGTTTCTCCTTTTCAGGTCAAGTGCACTCTTGTTAAAGAACAGCTAATTTACCAAGGTGGCATATTAGTCAATTTACTTCCCTTTGTTTCTCAGGAAACACTCAGTACATTACTGCTGATTTGAATAGGCAACTGTGTGGTACTTCCTGCATGATTCAAATAATAATGAAATGATACAATCAAACAAGGTAGAAGGTCGTCAAACTGTGACTGAAAAACCATACAGAAATCATCAGCCATATAAACGTACTGACTAGATTAGCTGTAGCGGTGTGATCACCTCCACTGTTTTTATTCTGCATGACTTGATTCTGACAGAAGAAAACAAGATGTAAACTCAGACTTGGTCAAAATGATGAGCAAGTCAGTATTAGTAATGTATGATTGGAGTCAGACTCTGTCTTTGTGTTTACCATCTTTGCAGTGGACTCACTCAATGAGGCTGCTGTGCCACCCGCTCAGCCTGTGGTCGCCATAAGTTTGTTTGTTATCAATAACAAGTTCACGCTAGCTGAA